AAAGGATCAGGAAGCAGCACTGGTTCCCCAGGTGTCTGGGGACCCAAGACCAGGAATGGTGCAGGGCCCATACCAGGAACAGAGAACAGCGGGGGAGATGGAAGGGCGAACGTGGCTGGGGGACTCATGGTGTGGAGGGATGTGTGATAGACTTACCCCAAGAGAGGCCTGAGGGCAGGAGCTTGGTATTACTTTTTTAACTATTTGATAATATTCCTTGCTTATTTGTAGTGGGCCATAGGGCTTCTAAGTTATTTTTTAACTCCATAGGTCCCCAAAAGGCCATCCCATATTAGGGATCCATGAAACCATCCTTCTCTCCTATCCTACCAATTTTCAAATACTTTCTATATTTGCCCTTTAATGCTCTCTTATTGATTAGACACCAAGGTGGTCTTGATTTTACCAATTTATCCATGAATTGTAATGAATAACAAGAAACCCTTCTTCTATCTATATTTATCCATCTATATTTTTCTTCTAGAAATCCATTATTCCCTGGACAGCATTAATTCTGTTTAACTACTTCTTACTGCATCTAAAATAGCTTTTATTAATAGTGGTGCATCTGGACTAGAATGATTAAAGGATTTTCAATAAAGGTGGTGACAGCTGTACCAAGGACACCAGGTGCTTTCCGGGCCCCCAGAAAGCCCAAGATACAATGACAGTTAGAAAGATAATAGCAAGTAAAAGCATGCCAAGTATACTGCATGTTTTTTAGCACAGCCAATTCCAAGAGGCAACCTTCCTTGAAGTTCCAGCCTCAACCCACGGAGGATCTCATGCAGGCTTCATTGGAGATGGCGTGGCAAGCCTCTATAAAAAACAAGTTACATACTTCCAAGACATAATGCATTCACATTCCAAAAGGCAATTCACTTAGTTTTTGTCAACTTGACTCAAATTATAGTGACTCAAATTATAAATTGAGGAATTTCCTCTATCAGACTGGCCTATGGCTTGTCTGAGGGGCATGTTCTTGATTGCTAATTGATGTAGGAGGGCCTAGTGCACTGTAGCCATGTCATCCCTGAGCAGGTGGACCTGAGAGCTGCAAGAAAAGCAGCTGATTGAGCACACGAGTGTGCTTATATACATGCAGGCCAAACATCCAGACACAAAATAAAAAGTACTTAATTTTTAAAAAGTAAAAGCTGAGCAAGCCAGGGGGAGCTAGCCAGGAATCAGCATTCCTCCATGATCTCTGCTTCATGTCCTGTCTCCAGATTCCTGCTTGAGCATCTGGCCCGGCTTCCCTCAGTGATGGACTATATATAACTTGTAAGCCGAATAAACCCTTTCCTCCCCAGGTTCCTGTTCTAGTTACCTGTTTGAGAGTTGCTTTGATAAAACACAGATCAAAACCAGCTTGGGGGTATTTCAGTTCACAGGTGGCAGATACTCAAGACAAGCTTGAAGCAGAGACCATGGAGCAACTCTGCCTACTGACTTGCTTCCCCCAGGCTTTCTCAGACACCTTTCTTAGACACCCCAGACCTAACGGCACTACCCACAATGGACTGAGCTCTCCTACTTCAATTAAAAATCAAGAAAATGCTCCATAGAAATGCTCGCAGGCCATAAATGGCAAGAACACACATGCATGTCTGGGGAAGCTCCCTTTCCATATGTCTAACCATGTTGCAACTGAAGTATCAAATTTGGAGTGATGGCTCGACAGTTCCATTCCCAGCACCCATGTAGGGCAGTTCACGACCACCTGTTTTGTTATGTTCATGTACCAACTCTGGCTCTTATAATCTTTCTGTCCCCTCTTCCATAATGGTCTCTGAGCCATGGGTGGGTGAGGTTTAACACAGGCACCCTATCCAGGAACATGCACTCTACGGTCTCTTATTCTCTACACCTTGGTCAGTTGTAGCCTTCTGTGTGCACTGCGCTTTGCTGCATGCAGTTATGTTCCATGAGCCTTAGGTGTAGAGGTTCCACTTAGATGTGTCACTTAGGGCTGGGCATCTTTCAGACATATATTCTCTGTGTGTGACCAGTTGTGGAACTCTGCAATAACCTCCATCTGTTGCAAAAAGAAGTTTCTTTGATGAGTGGTGTGCAGTACACTTGTCTGTAAACATAAGGATCCATTATTTAGCAGACAGAAATTTCATTTGTCTAGAGATAGAGATGGGGTTTTCTCTAGGATCGATGACCTCTCCAGCCATGTGTATTTGCCTGTATTTACAGCACCACCCTTGAGTTCCTTCCTATTGAGAGGGCAAGTCCAATTAGATAGCTGTTGATCACCCCCCATCCCCACCCCATCCCAGATAACAGTGCCACTGCTGCACCAAGAGAGATAGTTTGCTGTCCCAGTCATTGTGCTTAGGCTTTAGAGCTGGGCTGAACCATTGATTGATTTTTCTCCCCTTGCAGCTTGCATAGTGTCCTCTAGAACTATCAGAGCTAATCTTCAGGGAGGAGGCTTCCAGGTCAGTTCCAGCTTCACTGCTCCAAGTCCTGTGTCTGAAGTATACCCTGCCTTCAGCAATAGGGTCTTACCCTCAAGTTCTGGACAAAAATCAGAATATGTGGCAGTGCCTGTGTTATTTTGGGAGTCTCCTGAGACTACCCTGACCAACAACTCAAAGGGAGGTTTCTCCTGCCTGGCACCGTGTTTCTTGTTATATAGCCTTCAGATATACACATGCACTCATGTTTGGATATTGTACGTGTATTTTGCAGGGTTCTTTTTTGAAAGTTAATACATTTCCCTATAGCTTTTCATATCACCTAAGCTGTATTTATCTCTCTTCTCTCTCTCCCTGTTTAACCACCCTCCTCCCTTCTCAGTTTAAGTGCCCTCATTTTCCCTGTGATAACACCTGCCTCCTACTATCTCCTCCTTCTTCCCCATGGTTCCTTGTATGTTCTTCCCTCCTCCCTTCCCAGTTGAGTACCATTTTCTCCACTTCCCTCTTGGTAACATCTCTTTCCTACTATCTCCCTCTCTCTCAGGCTTTCTTTCCCTTTACCTCTATAGTTCCTTTCCATTTTCCTGGCTCCTACTGTTATATCACGATATATACTCATATATAAGGGATTGGTGCTAAGATTCACAAATGAAAGAGAACATACGTTGCTTATTTTCTGAGTCTGTGTTACTTCACTAGTATAACAGTTTCTACTTCTATACATTTACCTATGGATTTCATCTTTCCTTACTGCAAAGTAGAGCCCCAATGTGTAAATGTACCACGTTTTCATTATCCATTTGTCAGTTGAGGGACATTTAGGTTGTTTCCATTTTTTAGGCATTGTGAAAAGAGCAACAACAAACATGGATGTACAAGTGTCTCTACAGTACAATGAGTCCTTTGGGTATATGCCAAGGAGTGGTAAAACTAAATCACATGGTAGATTCATTTTTAGTTTTTAAACAGTTCTCCACACAGTTTTCCATAGTGGTTCCACAAGTTTTCAATCTCACTAAGTGAATGAGTGTTCCCATCATGTTGAAAGGCTTCTCTATAAATTTAATCTACAATGTCCTCTGGTACTCTTTTTAACTGAGCCATATATTCAGAATCCAATATGTAAATTCACTGAGTGAAGTTTATAATTTGTTAGAAATATATCTACCATGTAATAATTTTTTTCAAGTAGCTGGAAATACCTCTTCCTGTCATTGTTCTAACTTTTCTAGGTTCTTAGAGTTTTTCTTCTAGATTCTTCTTAAGGTTTTTTTTTCATGTTTTGGTAGCACAGTCAAAATTGAAATCTAAAACTGTGAGATGCTGAGTGGTGTCTTAATACATACTTTGTGGGAAGATATATTTACATTTATACTTGCTATCCGCACAATTCTGGTTAATATTTTTCACATCAAGAGAAAAAAACACTATCATTTTCACTCACTATGGGTTCTAATTAGGTATTTGGGAACTGCTAGTTATTCGAGATCACACTATTGTTTTTATGTCCTCTTCATATAAGTGGCTTAACTGTTTTTAAATAATTTATTACCATGACATGGAAAAAACCGTCGAAGATAAGCAAAACAAAAAGTATGTCAATTAATGACTTATTTTCAAAATATCTACTAACACAAAGATCATTTTGCTCTGCAGGCCAGGAAGCCCTTTAGGAAGAAATGGTAATTGCTCCCCCCACCTTAATGTTTGGAAAAATAATTCTTGTGGTTCTTGAGGCAAACAGCTAAAACAAAATCGTATTGAAATGTATTTCTTCTAAGACTCAAGCACCACTCTCCGACACTCTATCAAAGTCTGGAACTAACTGCTCATAGAATGTACACATAACAACTATTTAATTCTAGAGTAATTTTCCAAATCAACAACTAAAGTCCATCCTATACCTCCGCCCTCCCTCAAAGCAAGATAGTTTCACCTCCAAGGAAACGTAAACACAAAGCGGCATGCCACTCTGCAGACCTAGTGTCAATGTACAACCCTTCCAAACGCAAAAGCTCTTTCTCCTTCGGTCATCCAGACGCCACCATCTTCCTGTACTTTGTACATGTTGGTACTTAGGGCTTAGCAATACTCACTGGATTTTAACCAGGAGGCAGTGAGAAGTCAGTGGAAAATAGTTAACAAATCATGACCAGCCGCTAAACAAGAAATATCCTCCCTGTGTTCCCCCCTCCCCCAAAGCTACCCTCTAGCAGGGTAATTTTGGCTCCCCACAGGGTTTATTTCCCCTGCAGTTATTTCCACAAGGCTCACAGAACTTTTTCTCTGGAGGACTATAATTGCAGCATAATAGAGAAGATCCTAAAGTAGCAGGAGATAGTTCCCCACCCTGATTCCTAAAAGATGACTCCTGTATCCCTTTTGTGTCCGCATCGGGGAAATCTGCTCTGGTCCATGCAATCAGTTCCATCATGACTGCCGCTAGAGGGTGCTCACGGGAGGAACCCCTCCCAGGCCCCGCCCCGTTTCCTAGGTGATTGGCCGCGCGCTCCTCCCGGCATCCAGTTCCGGGCAGCGCGAGCTTGCGTTCTCTGCGCGTGACGCAGTACGTTTGGGTATAAAAGCGTGCGCGCGCCAGCGCTCGCTCTCTTCCCACGGCTGTCCGTCAAGATGGCGCCGGTGAGTGCGCCGGGTTCCCGGGGAGGGTTTGGGGAGGGTGGGCGCGGAGGGGGAAGGCAGGCCTGCGGGTCTCGCGAGGTGACGGTGCCGGGCGGCTTCACGGACCCCGCTGCTGCCATGCGGCCTGGAGGAACAGGGCCTGGCGCGCGCGTGAAGGCGGGGCGCGCGGGCCTCAGGTTTTCATCCCGAAGACCCTCGCCGGTCTGTGACCGGAAGGCGTGCGGCTAGGTGGTCTGGCCCGCGGTATCAAAAGTTGGCGAAAATTTTATGAAGCTAAGAAAGTTTTCAAGTTTAAATCTCCTTACAAAGCTATAATGTTGCGATATGAAAAGCTGGAGTTGCTGACTTAGGTGCAAAACTGGGTTAGCTGCTAATTGCCCATCCTAGACCAAACCCGAGCCCCATCTGCTCATCTGCCATTTCCGGCTTTGGGGGTAATTGGAGCGGGGAGTTGTTTACAGGGTTCCGGAAGTAGACTAAATGGTAGCCATTTGGGTGCTAATTGGACTTACTAGAACTGTGTGACGTGAAGATGCCCTCACGAAACGCACTGCCAGACTTGTAAATGAATTTTAGAAGCCTTAGCACCTGTTTTTGTTTCATTACAGTGTTTTTTTTAGTGACCATATTTGCTTGTGTGTCCATTTTATGTTTATAGTCTTGGTGTGTCTTCATTTTAATTTCCTAAAATCAGACAGCTGCTTACCTATAACATAGGATTGAATTTTTGTAGATTCACTTAGGTCTGAAAAATGAAAAACAAAGCTTAGGAAGTCTTTATCAATTCAACACATTGGGCTTGATTGATAAACAGAATCAGGTGGGCACTTTAATTGGAATATTTGATGTTCATTTACAGTAAGGATTTGGGGTTTTTAGAATCATGAAAAAAGCCTACCATTTCAAATGTAACTTTACATTCATGAGGCATGTAAGTGGTAGAAATCCAGAAAAACTTAAATTTAAACCAAGTTGATGAATGTGCCCTTTTCATACAGTATAGTTTTAAAGTAAAGCTGCTTTAGGTATTAAGTTAGATTTTCCTGATCTGATACATTTGTATGCATGACCTGAATATTGTGTATAAACAAAGGATTGCCTTAACACCTTTGTAATTATGTTTGTAGCAGAAGGACAAGAAGCCTAAGCGATCAACCTGGAGGTTTAACCTGGACCTTACTCATCCAGTAGAAGATGGAATTTTTGATTCTGGAAATTTTGTAGGTATCATTCTACTTTTTACAATTGTGTAATTGATAATTTGAGTGTAATACTTGGTATTAACCTAAGACAAATTCCTAGGGTCCCTTCCCTAGTGATTATCTAGGGTTTTCTTCCCTAGTGCTGCATTTTCTCTGTTTGAAAACAGGAACAATTTCTGCGGGAGAAGGTTAAAGTCAATGGGAAAACTGGAAATCTGGGGAATGTTGTTCACATTGAACGCTTGAAGAACAAAATCACCATTGTTTCTGAGAAACAGTTCTCTAAAAGGTTAGTGTTTGTGTTGCAATTTTAATGATGTTTTAAAGGATATGGAAACCCAGCACTCCTCTAATGTATAAAATATGTTAATGGGAAGCCAGCAGTGCTTTGGATTGCATACTGGGAAGTGCTGGTGCTGAGTGCCAGGGCTGGTTGGGAGTTTGTTGCTAGCATTTAGGAGGTCTCATCTGGAGTGAGTTAGTACATGTGTTTCAAGGGTTTTGTTTATGCCAAAAAGGCAGCAGAGACAAAATGGATAGTGAATTGGGTGTGAAAGGAATATGGCAATTCATGACAATGTCACAGGCCTGTATTGATGTATTAATGATGTGTTAATTTTTGTTTGCAAGGTACTTGAAATATCTTACCAAGAAATACCTTAAGAAAAACAATCTTCGTGATTGGCTTCGTGTGGTTGCATCTGACAAGGAGACTTACGAACTTCGTTATTTCCAGATTAGTCAAGAGGAAGATGGGTCAGAGTCTGAGGACTAGTTGACCTTCCCTTTTTAATAAGATGAAGTATGTTTAAGAAAGAAAGCCCAGAAACTCATCAGCAAATAAAAATCATTGTACTCTATAAACAGGCATTGTGTAATTTGTAAATTTCCTGGGAATCTAGGAAGAAGTTACTGTTGTCACTCCAGCCTCCTTAAAGCACATAGTCTTTCCTAATTAACATACAGGCAATTGCTTATTAGGACTCTCCAGCCATCTGCCACCCAAAACTATAAACATTGAGTTGTTGCCCACTAAGTTGGTGGTGTCCCTTCTGTAAAAAGTTAGTTCACTCACCCAGTTGGAATTGGAAACCTTCAGAGTTCCCTGTCTAGAGAAGACAGTTGGGAGATGTTTTCCAGTCTTGCTGAATTGTCCTCCCGTGACAGCTCCTTTGTTTGAATTCTCTAATGTAGCTTTGTGTCCTCTTGTTTCCATTGCTTTCCACAAGAAGTTATTAGGTGCCTGCTTGGGCGTTATGTGGCACTACGTTTACTCCAGGTAAAATAGGTGAAACCATTTATAAATTGAAGTAGGAAAGACTGCTGAAGATGGCTTACTTGAATAGTCCCGAAGGAGATGCCAAGTCCAACCAAGTAGGTATCTGGGGGGAAGCATTCCAGGCACAGAAGACAGGGCTAAGACCCTGAGTCAGGAATGCCCTTGCTATTGCCAGTGAACCCTTTTTTATCTCCTCAGAAAGACTGGCCAGTAGAAGATTAAAATTTAGAAGTAAAAGGGATTGGGGGGGGGTCGGATGGGATGGTGTGCTATTGATTACACTGATAGGGTGCAACTAAAACATTTATTTACCTCATGGATCTTGAGACTAAGGAACTGAGTCAGCTTGGTTATGGACGTGGGGTTTGAACTTAGATCCTCAAACTTGCACAGCTAGCACTTCACACACTAAGTCATCTCAAGGCCTCCATACTCTTAGAATACATTTTCCATATTGCATGTAACAGCACAGTTGTGTCCTCTCTAACCCTTTAAGAAAGTTGCTTTAGTCTTAATTGGGGCTGGAGGGTCAGCTTCCAAGCACATCCACTGGCTGTTGGAAGGATTCAGCTCCTTGCTCTGGGGGCTGCACGGAGCTGCTCCTGACTCCAGCTCATTTCCCTTGGAGAAAACCAACATGGAGACTGCGGTGTCTGGACCGTCCCAGAAGCAGCATGCCGCCCCTACATTGTCTTCCTGATCACAAACCACCCCTGGAGCAGAGTGGGAGCGATTCCCAAGAGGCAGGGGTCCTGGGAGGAGGGAATGTGGTGGGTCCTCTTGGAGGCTGGCCACTACCTAGGGGATGCCCAGCACATAGAACTTTGTGGGCTGCTTGGCTTTCAGCTGTTTTGCTGACTGCTTCCCGAAGCTACTGAAGCTTAAGCAAAGTCTAAACCAGCTTTACATAGAATGTGAATGATTATAGCATCAAAGACGAGATATGTTCAGAGAAAGCTCTTATTTGGACCATGCATTTTGGGTAGGAGACTTCACAGTTTCAAAACCAACTTTAATCCAAAAGTTTTTTTGGTTTTTAATTTTTGGGTGTTTTTTTGCCTTGTAGGGTCTCTGCATCACCTGCATGTGCTCAAGTGCACCCATGTCTTGCAATGCCTGCAAAGGTCAGACAAGAAGAGGGTGTCGGATCCCCTGGAACTGGAGTTACTTTGTTAGCTGCCATGTGGGTGCTGGGAATTGAACCCATGTCCTCTCTAAGAGCAGCCAGTGTTCTTAACCAATGAGCCATTTCTCCAGCCTCTTTTTTTTTTTTTTTTTTTTTTTTGGTCTTTTTGAGACAGGGTCTCCCTGTAGCCCCAGCTGTCCTGGAACTCACTATGTAGGCCAGACTGGCCTTGAACTCAGATCCACCTGCCTCTGCTTCCCAGAGTGCTGGGATTAAAGGTGTGCGCCACCATGCCCAGCCTATGATTTTTCTTTTTTAACTGTTGTGTGTGTGACATGCACATGTGTGGGCAGATGCACTCACTGGTGTGCCTGTGTGTGCTCTCCACCTTCCATTTTTTAAAATCAGAGAATGTAGAGATTATTAATATGTATTTCCATGTTTAATTTTTTAGAGTTTCACATATTTTGATCGTATTTAGATACCCTCCCCTATCTGCACCCCTTACTACCCCTCATCCCATAATGATCTCCCTTTTCATCTGTTTCCCAGTAAATGTCATGATTTTCTTAACAGCTGAATAAAATTCTGTTGTACATGCGTACCACATTTTCTTTATCCATTCATCTGCTGGTGGGCACCTGGGCTGGTCCTGTTTCCTGGCTCTTGTGAATAGTGCAGCAGTAAACGTGTGTGTGACTTAGAGTCCTTTTGACATATGACAACAGAATAGATGGGTTTATATAGTTGCATTTTTAGTTTTTTGCGTAACCTCCACGTTGACGTCCACAATGGCTTCATCAGGTTACAGTCCCAGGGACAGTGCGAAAGTGTCCTTCTCTCCCCATTTGAACGTCTCAGTAGATACTGCTGAACTCATTGCAGGCATTGTATAGTTTTCTCTCTTGGTCTTCCCATCAGCAATGCTTGAAAATGTCCATTTTCCTACAGACTGACCAACAGACATCTGTGGTCCATTTCAAGTGGTGCACATACAACCACACACACAAAATGTAAGAATTAAATATTTTTTAAAATGTAAATTTGGTGTGATTATGATATGGTTATGTCTTTGCTCTGATAAGCCCTATGTTCAGAAATCAGATTTGGTTCCCAGCACCCACATGGCAGCTAACAACAGTCCATAACTCCAGTTCCAGGAGATCGGGACACCTATCCTCCTTGGGCAGTGCATGACAAGGGTTCACTTACATGCAAGCATAATACTGATATACATAAAAATAGAGAAATCAAAAAAATTTTTTTAACGAATTGTACTGCTCTTACAGAGCAGTTCAGTTCCCAGCACCCACAGTCGGGCAGTTCATAACCACCTCTGGCTCCAGCTCCAGGGGATCTGATGCTCTCTTCTGGCTTCCATGGTCACTTGCACTCACACCCCCAAACAGACACACATGCATATGCATCCTTTCTAAATATAAAAATAAGTATACACTACTAATACCTTTTTCCTTGATAGGAGTGTTCGTTATATAGATGTGAATTTGTATTTATTGCCCTTAGAGTTACAATATCTATATGTTGTTTTATTTCCAATATTTCCAATAATATATAATTCATTGGATTTGTTAGATTCATGGATGAATGCATATATTTAATTTTAGAAAATTATTTATATAGTACAAGCGTACACTAAACTGTATCTTACCCTCCCTCACCCCTCTGAACCACTCTCAGGGGTAAAGAGTGTCCACCTGGTGGTATTTTTCTGCCTGTACAGTTGTTTGTAAATGTCTTGGAGCCTTTAAGTCCAAATAATATATACTGTCTAACTTTAATAGTTACATGTTATCGTAGGAATTATTCTTAATTTGCCTAGTCAAATGGTTCTAGACAGCTAAGCACTTCATAGAGTTTTTTATGACTTCCCATTGTGTCTCAGGGTCTGTCTTAGGCCATGGGTCTTTAGACACATGGTTTTAAGTGTTAGTAGATGATGTTAAGTTGCTCTAAAGATACCTGTATTCATGACTCCGTTTACAGACCCATTAGTCTACATCAGAATGTTCAAGTTTTTAGTATATTGATAAATATACCAAATACTATATAAATAGTAGTGTCCTCAAGAGGGAGCTATTTTCAAAACAGATTGGCCTTTGATTATAAACTATTCTTATGAAAGAATCTTAAACTAGGATGAGCTGGCTTATCTGAATATAAACTGAGTACAGAGAAATGTCACTGAAATGCATTTTGAATTAGAGCCCTTTCCCTTCTAAACAATGTGATAAACATAAAATCGGAAAAATGTATTCTATAAGAAAACTTTAATTTCCCTTATTTAACAAGACAGCTAATAAGATAAAGACAAATTTTATTTTTTAAATTTTATACGTTTGTTGAATACTTAACTATGAGTCAAACATACACACACACACACAACTATCCTCACAGAGCACTGAACTTGTGAATGATACCAACAAAGTTGGATTATGGAATGGATAGAGATGAGGGATGGAGAGAAAATCAAGTACAATTTGACCGTTAAGTTTAGATTATCAGAAGTGAGGACAACTCTATTTCTGATTTGATGTCATTGAGTTTAAGTTATGAAATAGACCTTTTTTTTATTGAGTTTAAGTTATGAAATAGACCTTTTTTTTTTTTAAATCTTAGTAGAAAGTTTTACGTAAAGGGTGAGTGGCTAGAGAGATGGCCCAGGGGTTAAGGAGAGTACTGCTTTTGCAAAGGACCCTCGTTTAGTTCACATAACAGATGTTGGATAGCTCACAGTTACCTGTAACTCCAGCTCAAGGAGATCAGATGCCTCTCTGTGTATGAATATACTGCCTGCATGTATGTAAGCGCACCTGTGTCATGCATTGCCCGTGGAGGTCAGAAAAAGGCATTGGATCTCCTGGAACTGGAGTTACAGAGGGTTGTTAACTGCCATGTGGGTGCTGGGAACCAAACCCAGTCCTCTGCAAGAATAGGCAGTGCTCTTAACTACTGAGCCATCTTTCCAGCCCCAATAATAAAAAAATTTAAAAATCTAAAAGAAAAGGTGGATAAGAACACCATTGTACAAAGTTAAAAATAGTGATTTCTTTTATGTCAGAGACTCTTAACATTCTGAATGAGAGAATCATTTACCTTTGGTGGGTCCTGGTTTCTGCAATGTAAAATATGTGGACTGTCTTGGAATTCACTGGGGTCTAATATACCTGCACATAGAAAGTACTCTAGGGAGGTTTTACACACTTTCCAAGCCTGGTCCCTCAGATGCAGTACACAAGAATATACCAGACAGAAGTAGATATTTTTTTAATCCCCTTAGATGATTCTCATAATTAGCCAAGGTACAGGACCACCAATTTCAATAATTTTTTACTCCATCTGTGGAGAGATCATGATTCTCAAAAGCAGAAAATTAACACAAGATTATAGTTTGTAGGTGACTAGGAACATGGGGTGGAAATGAACTTAGGGTGCAATAGA